CAGAATCAGCCAACCGATGATTCTGCTCAATCGGAGTATTAGCAAGACGAGCGCTAAGCTGACCAGAAGCAGAAAGCAAGTCAAGAACATACTTTCGTTGAGAGATGAAAATGCCAGTCTTGGAGCGAGCCACCTTAATGCCCAAGAAGTACCGTAGGGGACCAAGATCCTTAATCTCAAATTGACGGCCAAGATAGCTTTTAACCACATTAATTCCGGTAGTATCATTGCCGGTAAGAATAATATCATCGACATACATAATGAGAGCAACTGTCTTACCGCCTGAATGACGTAAAATCAAGGTATGATCAGCTGCACTTTGATGGAAACCAAACTTAAGCATAGCAGTGCCAAAGCAATCAGACCAAGCTCGAGGAGACTGCTTGAGGCCATATAGAGAACGATGAAGACGACATACCATAGAGAAACGCATTCTTGACATCTAACTGAAATAGAGGCTAAGATCGAATTGCAGCAACGGAAAATAATACCCGGATGGTATTCATCTTAGCAACAGGGGCAAAAGTCTCCTGATAATCTATGTCATAAGTCTGAGCATAACCCTTGGCAACCAATCGGGCCCTGTAACGAGCAACTGACCCATCTCGATAATGCTTAACTGTAAACAACGACAACCCACAGCCTTTCGTCCAATAGGAAGCGGAACCATGTCCCAAGTCTGATTTTTCTCAAGTGCTTGTAGTTCTTTTGTCATAGCATCACGCCATTGAGGTTGTGCTAGTGCATCTGCAACACTAGAAGGAATAGGAACCGAGGCAACAGAAACAAGAAAACTCCGCTAGGAGGGTGAGAGAGCATAATCAGAAACAAAATTAGAAATAGGGTAAGTACAAGAACGTTTACCCTTTCGAAGAGCAATGAGGCGATTATCAAGCGAAACAATAGCTTGAGAAGGAGGAGCTGGTGCCGAAGGAACAGGGCAGTCGATCGTGGGAGTAGAAGCTTGTACCTGTTGTCTCCGACTATAAACCTATGAAAAAGGAACAATTCCCCCTGCTGGAGGGGTATGACGAGGAGGAATCATAGAAGAAGAAACAGGTAATGGTAGAGGAGTTGAAGACAGAAGAAGGTGATCATCCATTATATTCAATGGGAACCATTTAGGGATGGCAATGGGGCAGGGCGGGGATCCCATTCCCCATCCCCATCCCCGCTTAAAATTTCACCCCCCCCCCCCCCCCCCCCCAATCCCCGACCTCTTATCCCCATCCTCGGCCTCGGCCCCGATTAACATATATATATATTTTTAAAAAAGCATAATTTATCTTATTTTCATATATGTAATAAATCTAGTTTAGTAATAAATTATTAAATGTAAGGGTATATTAGTAATTTAATACTTAATCAGGGCGGGGCGGGGCGGGTTTACCCCATCCCCGCCTTTGCCCCCGCCCCCAACAGGTTTTCAAAATTTACCCCCATCCCCTGGGGTGGGGCGGGGATGGGGAATTTGCCATCCCTAGAACCATTCACTCTGAGAACCAACTGAACCACTATAGTATGGTGTATGCTCAAAGAAAGAAACATCCATGGATGTAAATCGCCGACGATTAGGAGGATGGTAACACCTATAAACCTTTTTGAGAGTGAGAATAGCCAAAAAACACACACTTCAAAGCCTTGGGGTCAAGCTTTGTACTAGTTTGCCCCAACTGCTGAACAAAGCACACACACCCGAAGACTAGCGGAGGAATAAAAAAAAGAGATGAATTGGGATGTAAAATTGAGAGTGGGGCTGCAAAGTTAAGAATCCTAAAAGGAGTCCTATTAATGATGTAAACAGCAGTAAGAACTGCATATCCCCAAAATGACTGGGGAACATTCATGCCAATGCAGATTGCTCTGGTTAAGTCAAGGATGTGGCGATTCGTTCTCTCAGAATGACCATTCTGTTGAGGAGTTTTAACATTAGCCATCTGATGCTCAATCCCAAATTCTGTACATAACTGTTGTACCTGCCTATAAGTGTACTCTGTACCCTGGTCAGATCGGAATTTTTTAATGGTACGACCATATTGAGTTTGAACCATTGTCATAAAATTTTTAAAAATGGTGTATACTTCATTTTTGGTTTTCATAAGATAAACCCAAGTAACACGAGTATGATCATCAATGAACAACACGAAATATCGAAATCCAAGATTAGAAGTAACTGGGCAAGGACCCCACACATCTGAATGAACAAGATCAAAAGGTGTTAAAGCAAATTTATTATTACTAGCAGGATAATTGGAACGAACATGTTTAGCCATATGACATGTTTCACAGGATAAATCTGACACTGCCACGTTGCAAAATAAGGAAGGAAATAAATGTTTCAAATAACCAAAAGAAATATGTCCTAAACGTATGTGCCAACGCATAAGCTGGGCTTTATTAGATGAAACAATATTAGAAAATGAAGCTGAATGTGCTTGAGGTGACAAAGGAGCATCCAACAGGTATAAACCATCCACTGCACGCCCACTGCCAATCGTCTGTTTCGACACCAGATCCTAAAAAATACAATGAGAGGGAAAGAATGTTACACTACAATTTAATTGTTTGGTTACGCTACTAATAGAAATAAGATTTGTAGTCAACTTTGGAACATGAAGTGTATTTGACAAAGTTAATGAAGGAGTAACTGATATGTGACCCTTCCTAGCAATGGAAGATGGAGAGCCATCCGCAAGGCGGACCTTGCGTTGGTCAGAACCGATACTATAAGATTGGAAGAGTGAGGACATACCAGTCATATTGTTTGAAGCACCAGAATCAATGATCCATGGTGTTGAAGATGTAGATACGCTATGTGCAGACGCAATAGTACCTGAGTGGGCATAAGTGGATGTTGGCTGAGATGATGCCTCCATTTGGTTGAAGAATTGCTTGAACTTGTCCAAATCAGCTTAAGTCAAGGTAAATGTGGCAGAAGATGTAGAGGCAGGGTTGTCAGGAGTTGACAACGAGACTGGTTGTGTAACAGAATGTGCAGAGGATCGAGGTGGCTCTTTATGTTGCGGTGGACGTCCATGTAGAGTATAACAACGAGATTTGATGTGACCAATTTGTCCGCAATGGTCACACCGTCCACGTTGTCGTCCCAAAGGAGGACCAGTGGTAGTGCTTTGAACTGACTGGGATGGTGAAATTCCTGAAAGGTTGGGAACCCAAACTGCCATAGCAGAACGATCAACAGAAGCAATACCTAATGGATGAGTCCGGCGGCTCTCATCTGACAACGCATAGGAGTATGCATCCTCAAGAGTAGGGAATGAAGATAAGCCCAATAAATGAACACGAGCATACTCAAACTCGTCGTTCAACCCGGCAAAAAACTGAAACACTCGATTCTTCTCCACAATTCCTGCATATAAAACTGCATCATTTGGATCCTTCCAAGAGTGGAAGGAATCATAATATGATATCTCCTCCCAAATAGCACGAAGCTTGGCGATGTAACTTGAAACTGTCAAGTCACCCTGAGAAATCCTGGTGATATCTCGCCCCAGCTGGAAAATTTGTGCATTATTCTGCCTTTGAGAATAAGTGCGTTGAACTGAATCCCAAATCTGCTTAGCAGTCTTCATAAACATATAGCCAACAGCTATGTTTGGTTGCATCGAATTGACTAGCCAAGACATAACCATAGCGTTATCTGCAAACCACTGAGGATATGCCTTCTCTAACTTAGCTGGCTCTTTCTCAAAAATCAGTAATATAGCCAATCTTGCCTTTGCCACCAGTGAACATCTTGGCAGACTGTGCCCAAATCAAATAGTTGGAACCATCCAACTTCATTTTGGTGATTTGAAGTCCTGGATTTTCTGATGAGTTGGTGGGAAAAATGGCACCACCACCCACAGAACGCGAGCCAAGAGAATTAACAGTCGAGGACCCTGAATCTGCCATAATCTGTCACATGACAATAAAAAAAAAAAACTCCAAAAACACCACAAATTCTGTTAATAAATCAAACGGTCTCCTCAGACCATAAACAATGTCTCCTCAGACCATTCTCGAAAAATCCAAATGCATACCTTTTTTAAGGAGCGCTGCTCGCTTACATATAGCCAGACAACCTCCTTCTTAATATTCGGACCCTCTTTGTAGACTAATTTTTTTTACCCAAGCCCTTCTAGGTATTAGAAACCAACTATCCCAATTTACCCAACCCTAGAAGAGTGAAAAAGAAATTGTAAAACTTAAAAATACCTATTTTCGATCACAAAACAGCAACACAGAAGAACATGTTTAGGTAACGTCACACGATGTCACAAACAGCCTAAGGTAGTTGTCGCATAAGTAGTAAGGCTGCTAAAAGGTGTTGGCTCTGATACTAAGTAGAAATATATAAAAAGAAGAGAAAGGAGAGAATTGCGTAAAGGCTTGAATGATATTACATGAAAGGAAACTAAATCAAATCAAAATCAAATCACAACTTATTCTAAAGCATATTCTATAGCACATTCTATGGCATATTCTATAGCATAGTCAAATCTCTGCTATTATGGTAAGTCATACCCTAAATCGTGGTATTATATATGCTAACACATGCAAACATAATTTTGTGCATAAAAAAGAAAATAAAAGAAATATTTGGCGGAAAAGCAGTTCTTAAACAATTATAGGCTAAAAAAGAAAAGAAAAGAAAAGAAAAGAAAAAGAAAAAGCTCACTAAATGATATTAGTAAAAGATTGTTATCTTGATAGCCATTTCTTATACTAAATTTTCTGTGTTAAAGGTTAAATGTGAACTTTTAATAAGCACCTGGTTCTGTCAATATATATCAGGCTGTAGATGTTAATTTTACTTGCCAGATTTATTGATCTTTTCATTTTGAAATTTTCTTGTGTGATTTACTCTTCTCCAAATATTCCTTTTTCCCCCAGACCCTATATCATTGCTCTGTAATTCATAATTTATACCTTGCTATGTTAAAACATAAAATTTTGAAGTTAATGTTCAGTGAGAAGTGGTTACTTTTGGATATTAGGTTATATATGGAGATACAGATTCAGTTATGGTACAATTTGGTGTGTCAACTGTTGATGCAGCTATGAACTTGGGAAGGGAAGCTGCTGAATACATCAGCGGGACATTCATAAAAGTAGGTGTTTGAGCTTTGCTGTTTATTTTTTGTCAATTTATTTTTCAGCTTCTTAGATCTTATGTCTTTTTCTTAAAACATCTAGTAATAAAATCTTTCTGAACTAGAATTAAGAAATTCGTGTGTGTGTTGGGGTTCCGCACCCGGGGGGGGGGGGGGGGGGGGGGGGGGGGGTAGTGTTGGTTGTAGCTGTTGTTAGGATTTAGTGTTTCTTAGCATTGTGTTGAACTTCAATTTCTGAAAAATTGATCTATGCTCAACTCAACAAAGCTTTATGTAAACTAGTTGGGATTGGCTTTGGCAATGTTTTTCTGTATCGAGTGCCTCAATAGAGATTATTGGCCATATTGTTAATGCTCTCTTTAGTAATCTCTGTATGTGAGTAAACCATTTTTAGTTGATATGCCTCATCTTGTCCCCAATTGGCACTGCTTCCCACATCATACTAAATCATTCATCCCAGAGGTGCCCTTTAATGTGGTTTTAGTTAATGAAATCAGAGCAGGGTTCACTTATGAAGTTGAAGTATTGGAAGAAGATTAAGAAATCTGAGGTTTCTGGATAAGTTGGAATAAGAATTACAAATGTGACTTAATAAAACTTTCTTTCAGCTTTTTGGAGTTTTGTTGGCGTCTCTTGTTTTGAACTTGTTTGCAATTTTCATATGCATTGTGGAAGAACTATGTACCATTGTTTTGAGACTTCTAATGTTATTTTCATACATTTGTGGATAACTTTGTTCTTTTTCTTTTTTTCTTTCTTTTCCTTTTTCTCATTTTATATGGTGATATATGTGCTGCGAAGCCCATAAAACTAGAGTTTGAGAAGGTTTACTATCCATATCTCCTGATTAGCAAGAAGAGATATGCTGGTCTTCTTTGGACAAACCCTGACAAGTACGACAAGATGGATACTAAAGGTGAGCAAGTGTCTTACAACCGTGTCAGCTTCTGTATATTCTGCTGTTGACCTAGTCTTTTAATTTATTGACTTCTGTTGATAGGCATTGAAACAGTTAGAAGGGACAATTGTCTATTAGTTAAAAACCTGGTAAATGAATGCCTTTACAAGATACTAATAGACAGAGACATTCCTGGTGCTGTTCAGTATGTCAAGAATACTATTTCAGATCTTCTGATGAATCGCATGGATTTGTCTCTTTTGGTTATTACTAAGGTAAGTAAAAATATTGGCTGGTGGAGTTGCTCTTGGCTACTGGCAAAGTTAACAGAATCCCTGATTTATTTTGACAATAATCTGAAAGTTATATTATGTACACTAACCTTTCTAGTTTTACAGGGACTGACAAAAACGGGAGATGATTATGAAGTGAAGGCAGCACACGTTGAACTTGCTGAGCGGATGCGTAAGGTTTGTTGTACATTAACCTGATCATTCACTTCATGATTTTATATTGATTGATTGCCCATTCACTACATGACAGTGTATTGATTGATTACCCAATATATGATTGTTTCTATATCTACATGCTTGAGGCACCTCACACTATAATATTTGAAAATCGAAGTTGACATCCTCATAACTTTTGAGGCACCTCATATGACAATCTTTGAAAATTCGAACTGACAGATCCATAACTTCAAACGAATTTTTTAAGACCATAGGACAGGATTGGTGTGGTTTACATCTGTAAATTGATTGATTGCCCATATATGATTATATCTATATCTACATGCTTGAGGAACCTCACATAATAATATATGAAAATCCAAGTTGACATTCTTATAACTTTTGAGGCACCTCATATGACAATCTTTGAAAATTCAAATTGGCAAATCTGTTGTCAGGGGCTTATTTGTTATTACTTATATAATTGGGGCTTATGTGTAATTTTATAAACATATTATTGTAAATATAATGTGGTGGAAGGATGAAAGTATTCTTTTATTCTTTCTCTCTTTCCCCATCTGTCTCTCTTTTTCTCTCATCATCTTTCTTCTCTTTTTTTTCTTCTTATACTCAACTATTTGATTTGATTATCTCTTAAAGTCAACATGGTATCAGAGCAAGGTTTGTAAAGCTCTAGGTCTGTAGTTAAAACCCTAGGGCAAGTTTGTGTAAACCCTAGTGGGTGTGAAGGGTTTTGAAGAGATTCCAAGGTGGGATTTGTTTGCAAAATTTTTTTGGACCTGTTTTTGATCTATTGCAGTCTCGATTGGTGTTTTTTTGGTGTTCGCGAGGTTCTCCAACAACGGCTTTTTCTTCGTCGTTCGCGGTATGGTATACGTTGTTGCTTTCTAGGGTTTGTGTGGTGATTGTGTGGTCGCTTTTTTATGTATCTCAGAAGACTGTAATCTTTCTAGTTGAAGTTTGTGTGTTAGAGAAGTGTTTCTTTACGTATTTTGTTGATTTTTTTGTTTTTGAGGATTAATACCCAGAAACTGTTTGATAAAATGTTTGGCTCAAATGTTACTTCAAAAGAAGCTGGGTCTTCCCCAAGTTTGACTCCAGTATTGGGAGGTAGTGGTGATCACCATCTAGGCCTTTGTATTACGACTGTTAGGCTGGATGAGACGAACTATATGCTCGTATGAATATCACTGGTCGTAGGATGATCAACTATATCGAAGGGACTACCATGTATCCCTCCAAGAGTGATCCTGAATTCAAAGAATGGAGTGCAAATAATGCAGTAGTTATGACGTGGTTGTTGCAGTCAATGCAGCCACAAATTAGCAAAGGGTTTCTGTTTGTGAAAACAGCTAAATAGCTATGGCAGGCTGTGGAAGAGACGTATTCCTCAGTTGGTAATTTTGCAAAACTGTATGAACTCCAACCACAGATATCAAGATTTAAGCAGAAAGACCAAACTCTTGCTACATATTACCGCACTCTACGTGGTAAATGGGAAGAGTTAGATCACTACCAAGACTACAGACCTGTGTGTGCTGATGTTAAAGTATTTTGTGCTATGGTAGAAAGGAATCGAATCTATGAGTTCTTGGGTGGTCTGCATCCGAGATATGAGCATGCCAGGGTATAAGTGTTAGGCAGGTATCCAGCCCTACTTCTGTTAGAGATGTGTTTTTGTATATCTAGGCTGAGGAGAGTAGAATGAAGGCTATGTCTGCACCTGTAAACACTAAGCCCGAGTTAGAAGTACCATTGTCTGAGAGGTCTGCTCTTGCGACACAACGATGGAACAAGCCCAATCCTCCAAAAGGAGGGAAGCAGGATGACAAGAGCAAGTTGAGGTGTGATCACTGTGGGCGTACGTGCTGCACTAGGGAAACATACTGGAATCTATACGGTTGCCTTACTCTAGCTCCTACACATGCCAATGATAGGCCAAGGCCTGGTCCATTTAGGGGGTTATCTACGGCGCATACTGTAAAGTGTGAGAGTACTGGTTATGTCTCCTCAGGGCCACCAAGTTCTCTGTCCGGGACTGAACTAGATGCTCTTTGACATTTACTAGCTCAAAATGCCTCCATTTCCATCTCTAACTTCGCTCAGACACGTACCTCTCATTCGGCACATCAGGTTTCCACATTATCTCTGGGTCATTGATTCAGGAGCCACTGATCACATGATTGGTATGGCATCTGATTTTTCTTCGTACAGTTTATGTTTTGGTAAGGATAAGGTTAGAGTGGCTGATGGCACCTTCACCTCCATTGCGGGGAAGGGCACTGTTTCTGTCTCTCCTAATCTTACCTTATCCTCTGTTCTTCATGTCCCAAAGTTTACCAATAACCTCCTTTCTGTCAGTTACAATACAAAAGGCTTGAATTGTAATGAACCTTTTTTCCATCTCACTGTGTGTTTCAGGACTTGGATGCGGGGAAGACGATTGGAAGTGGACGTGAGGACAATGGCTTGTATTTGCTGAACGTGAGGCCAACTTCTTATTATGTTGCAAATCAATATAGTGTTAGGAATAGTAATGTCAATAAAGATCTGTTAATGCGATGGCATAATAGATTAGGTCATTTACCTCTTCTTGTTTTGAAGTATGTGCTTCCCCAGTTTCCTTCCGTTGAATCTTTTATGTTAAATTGTGAAATTTGTGTTCTTGCCAAACAATGTCGTGTTTCTTATCCTACTAGTATTAATAAAAGTACAGCTCCTTTGCAGCTTGTTCATTTTAATGTGTGGGGTCTTGAATCTACTACTTCGTTAATTGGTTTTCGTTACTTTGTTGTGTTTGTTGATGACTTTAGTTGATATACTTGGCTTTATCTTATGAAAACCAAAGATGAAGTTCATTCCATTTTAAAAACCTTTCTAGGGATGATATGTACTCAGTTTGGTTGCCCCATCAAAATCCTTCGATCTGATAATGGAGGAGAGTTTATGCATGGTGGTCTTGCCTCCTTATTTGCTGATAACATGATTGTCCATCAAACCTCCTGTGTTGATACACCATAACTGAACGGTGTAGTTGAATGAAAACACCGTCATATTACGAAGTTGACCGGTTCTCTTCTAATTGGGATGGGAGTGCCTAAAAGTTACTGGCCTGATGCAACCTTAATAGCTACATACCTTATCAATCGCCATAAGGCAATCCGATGTGTCTTTCTTGGATACTCTGCCACTCAGAAAGGGTATCAGTGTTATTAGCCTATCACTCGTCGTTGCTTCGTCTCCATGGATGTTACATTCTTTGAGTCTATTCCTTTTTTTCCCACTGTACGGGATTCTCTTCAGGGGGAGACTACTATTCAGGTAGAGAATCTGTCGTCCATTCTGAGGGAATGCCCCCTTCCTTTGCATATTCCCATTTAGGGGGAGGTTCTCATTCAGGGGGAGCTTCTTACTGAGGTGCCTATGTCTGGTCCTCCTACCACTAATGATTTGCAGTAGGGAAGCAGACAATTGTCTACACTAAGAGGGAAAAACAAGTCATTGATTCACCCCAGGACGAAGAAGTCTCCCTCGATCCAGGTAATTCCTCAGTTGACATTGATACTCCTAATTCTTTTCCTGATAGTATTCCTGTCGATCCTGATGTCCCTATTGCCTATCGTAAGGGTGTTCGTAGTTGTACAAAACATCCCATATCTTATTTTGTATCCTATGATGCCTTATCTCCAACATATCGTGCTTTCACTTCGTGTATCTCCTCTGTATCTGCTCCTTCTAGTGTTTCAGATGCTCTTAGTCAAACTCCTTGGAAGGAAGCCATGCTTGAAGAGATGAAGGCCCTTGAGAAGAATGGTACTTGGGATATTGTTCCATTACCTTGGGGTAAGAAATCAGTAGACTGCAAATGAGTCTACACAATAAAGTATCATGCAGACAGAACAATTGAGAGATATAAAGCCCGGTTAGTTGCAGCGGGCTTCACTCAGGCCTATAGGATTGATTGTTTGGAAACATTTCCTCCAGTTGCCAAGATGAACTCTATACGTGTCCTTTCTTTGGCAACTAATTTGAATTGGCCTTCACATTAGCTGGATGTAAATAATGTTTTCCTTCATGGTGACTTGGAGGAAGAGGTGTATATGACTATGCCACCAGGGTTTAAGCTTGCCAATGGTCAGAATTTAGTGTGCAAGCTAAATAAAGCCTTGTATGGGTTAAAGGAGTCGTCACGTGCTTGGTTTGAGAGGTTCAACATTGCTGTGGAAAGAGTAGGGTACACAGAGTCAGACATATCATACTCTCTTCATGAAGAAGCACTAGGGCTGCACCACTTCCCTTATTGTATATGTTGATGATGTTGGTATCACTGGAAATTATCCAGAAGAGATTCATCGAATGAAGTCATTCTCGGGGACAAAGTTTAAGGTTAAAGACCTTAGATCATTGAGATGCTTTCTTGGCATTGAGGTGTGCAGATTGAAGAAAGGGTTGTTCATTTCTCAATGGAAGTATGTGTTAGATTTGTTGGCTGAAACAAGCAGGCTTGGAGCTAGACCTATTGATATTCCCACTGAGCACAACTATAGGCTTAATGATGTAGATGGAGACCCATTAGACGATGTGGGGAGATTTCAGCGATTGGTAAGCATATTGATTTACCTACCTCTTACGCGCCCAGATATTGCCTACGCTGTTAGTGTGATTAGTTAGTTTATGCATGCTTTACGTACACCTCACCTTGAAGTAGCTCATCATGTTCTTGGCTACCTCAAGGGTTCACCTGGTAAGGGGATATTGTTTGGTCGTCATGGCCACTTGCGTGTTGAAGCCCATACTGATGTTAATTTGGCAGGTTCTGTGACAGATCGACGTTCTACTTTAGGATATTGCACATTTGTTGGAGGTAATCTTGTTTCATGGTGAAGCAATAAACAGTCTGTAGTAGCTAGATCTAGTGCAGAGGTTGAGTTCAGATCCATGGCACATGGAGTTTGTGAGTTGTTATGGCTACGAACGATGTTAGGTGAGTTGGGTTATCC